CTTAATTTTTTTTATTTTCCATGTTTAATAAATCTTAATAATTTAATAAAATAAAATAAGATTAAAAGAATGATATTACTATTAAATAATACCACATAATATTCGTACTGTTCTTTGTTTAATTTAATTATGAAATTTCCATTTCTACTAAATAACCACATCACGTAATCGTTAATCATTCAATGCGAGGATTCTCGTTTTTTAAACGATTCGCACAATTAATGAAGAATTATTAGATGATAAATAAAAAAATAAATTTTTAAAATGATAATAATTTAACGTATTTTCTTGTTATCTTGTATTGAGAAACTTGAATAATTTTTTTCATAAACGAATAGTTTAACCTAGATTCGATAATTTCTTGATAATAGAAATAATAGAAATCAATCTGTTATTAAGATCTTTCGTTTGAAAAATTTATAGGTTCGTGTCAAGAACAACATGATTATTCGTGCAAATATATCAATCGAGTCTTCTATTTATTCTTCACTTGAAGATTTTTGTTTTTAACTAATAAAAATGTTTTTTTTTAATATATAAATGTTTCTATTTTCATTTATGTTTCACGTGTACAGTACATGTCATTTGATTCTATATAAATATTACAAATTGTAATCAATGTTATCGAATAAAAAAAAAAAAAGAAAATAAAAAGTCAATTTGTGCAATTTAAACCGCAAGAGTTCTGGAATAACTTGCGATACTCATGCGATCTAGAAAATTAATTTCGCATCAAGATAAATCTTATCTCAATTATTCAATAACAATTTGTTCCCAGATTTGTTTACTTGTATGACGTATAATGAAAATAAGAATGGATGAACATTATAAGGTCATTATAGAATTGATAAGAATGATATCATCACCTGATCAATAATAAATATTAAATCAAAATAAAAAACACTTACATCAAAATAAAGCACTGTGATTTTTTATTATCGTAATTATATGTGTAATTATGTGTAATATATGTGTAAATTTGTCGATTCGCGAAAATGTTATATAGCGTATCAGATTAGTAATGGATTATTTTCTTTTTATGCATATATATTTTTAATAGAAAATATTAGCGATTAAAATAAATTTGAATTGATAAAAAATCGGAAAAAGATTGTTTATATTTTCTTTTAATTATAAATAAAATAAATGTATAAATTTATTGTTTTTTTTTTTGCCATTAAATTTTATCAATCAATCCATTTAAAGGTTATTTGAAAATAAGTCTAAATTAGATTAAACAGCAAAAAATTGAATTGTTTCTTTTTTTTTTTAATTTAATTGGTGACATAAATTTAGACTGACATAAATTATTATTAAAAAATATATTCTTTTCTTAGAAAAATAACTTTAAAAATATTTATTATGTTATTCAAGATAATCAATTAGCTATTTCATGAAACGTGACATTCGTTAAATCTGCTTATCGATCTTAAAAAGGTAAAGAAACGTATAAATAACCGTATTCTACGAGATATTGATTACTCAACGACATTTCAAGAATAGGACATCATCTGTTTGATAAAATGATTGTTTAATAAATATCTAACATCTCTCTTATTCTATCTATAAAATTGATAATATATATAAGTATTATATACTAGACTCTATTTATGTATTAATCACATTTGAAATATCTATTCATTGTATCAATATCTCAATAAATCAGAAATTTTTTCTTAATCGTTATACAGAAATTAAATTTTATTATTTCTACATGTTTACTAATTATTGCTTCATATAATAACAGTTTTTAAATTACTTGAAAAGTCTAAGAAAAATTGTTTTTCGTTTGAAAAAATTTCTTGCATATGCGAGAAAAAGATTTTGTATTATTAACACATCGATGGTAGGTGAATATTTTTGCATAACTTCTCATGAAATACACAAAGGATATTCAGTTCTCACTATTATTATCACAATCGATACATTGAGAAAAATAGAAGAGAACAAAGCTTTATTATTTTTTATAAATGAATAAATAATTTTTTAATTTGCTAGAATTTTTGCAATGAGATTTGAATGTTTTTAAATCAATGACTATAATTTTCTTTATTATTATTTTACTGCAATTGTCAAAAGTCAATATAATATAAAATAAATTTCAGTTTTTATAGTTATAAACGCATTAAATGACATAATTCGACAAAAAAATGGATTTATAATTTTTTCTCGGTATGATCTTCAATTTATATCATGATAATTTGCATTATCGTAAATTATCTTTGAAAAATATTGTTAAGTACATCATTTTCATTGTTAAAATACGTATTTCTTGAATTACTCTTGTGATTATAAATAAGAATCATAATTCTCTGCGAGGATTCTCGAAATTAATATTCGAAAAGTAAAACCCAGTAAAATCCATCGTAATCATCATCGAAATAAAAACATGACCTATCTATGTCTTATTCATGCGTCTATCACGACTTACTGGACGAACATACGAGCATTGGTATAGGAGAAAAACAGAAGTTGCACGTGGTCCGCGAATGTTCGTGAGTACCTGTTCCGTTTCTTCTAGCCCCTTCCATGGCTCCTTTTCTGTCTACCATGACTAACGCAGCCTGAACGAGAAAGCTCGTGACGGTATAAAAGTGAACGAGCGTTACGGCGTTCTACTAGTATGTTTCACGCGTTTGACGAGAAACGTTTTGTGTTTTCATTATTTTTCATTTTCTTTTTATTATATTCTTTTTTCTCGATCTGAATTTTTATTTAATCCACTCGAGTGAGCATCGAAATCGAAAAGTTTTCTAAAATCGTACATCCAGTCAAGTGTATTGATCAAGATAATCTCAACTTTTAAAAAAAATATTAGGGGGAAAAAGCGTTACATACATAATCGAAAATTGTGAAAAAGGAATAAGAAGAATACATAATGCCTATTGAATTGGAATCAGTGACACCGATTACACACAAATCTTGTTCACCTTGCAACGGGTATGCATTTTGATCTCGATTAGTGATTTGCAATTGAAATTTGAGTTAAGCACAAGTGTAAAATTGCCTCGATTATCTTGGTATTACATGAACTATTTATGTATCATGATAAACGCGTGTGTAAGAGGTAACAGCTGACGTGCAGAAGATCGGGTTAACGGCGTGCTTCCGCTTGTGCTGCGTCTGCTCGAAAATTTCCATCCTTCATTTTAGTTTGATCACTTTGATCATATAGTCTAATAAAAATTTTTTATACGTATGTCTTTTATCTTTTTTAAAGATTTTGATTATTGACAGATTAATTATATTATTAACTTATTTGATTTTTATCATTACATTTATTTTTATATTTTTGAATCTAAAAATAAGTAACCAAATTTATTCTTTTTTTTAATTATAAAAATTTTTTTTTATTCAGCAAATAATATAAAAATCAAAAAAGAAACGTAAAATAGTATTATCAGCAATGAAAATCTGACTTATAATTACTTGAATGGATATCATATATATATATATATATCATATAATAATATATATATATATATATGTGTACGTATCTAAAACATGTTGTTTCATCTTCAAATACATTTCTTTGCTCTATTTCAGGGAAAAAAAAATGAACAAGTTATGCAAGCAGGTATCCATCGATAGCCCCAACGTAACAGGTCGTGAATGGGTGTTCAGTTTCGACGTTCCTGTTCCCGATGTTCCGGCACATGGAGCCCGGATACGGGTGATGTGTGCAGGTGCTTGTTATCATCCTCGTCGTTCGCCCAGTCTGTCTAGCCTTACCTCCGTCTCTAGTGCGAGCAGTTTGGCCACGGATGTCTCGATGGAGGGTGATTTTCCGATATCCATGCCACACCATGGAGTTCGTGACGCAGCTCTGTTTCCCGGATACGAAGTTGCAGGAGTGATCGAGTCCCTTGGGGCGAACGTGCCCGAGGATTGCGGATACACGGTTGGAGATCGAGTGATCCTTTACCCGTATGAGGGCATACCAAACGGATACGTTGAATATCTGGTCGTATACGATCTCAAATATCTTATAAAAATCCCTGATAACGTGAGCCTGAGCGTCGCTGCGATGCTTCCTGCTGGTGCTCTCCTAGCTATGAACACTGTTTTCGCCACTCACGAACACATTCAAACATTGCTGAAACAAAGGGGTGTGAACAGCGTTTGCAAGATTCTGATCGTTGGTACCGGTGGTCTGGCTCTTTGGGCACTCAGAATTGCTGCTTATCATTTCAGCAATATGAAGGATAGGGTTACCATTACTATCGCTTCATTGAAAGACGACGGATTAACCATGGCTCAAGAATTTCAACGGTGAGTTGTTTTTGTTTCTTTCGATACGTAGGTTATTCATACGTAGATGTAAATAGCATTTATGTACATTCTTTCTATAGTGCTTATTAGATCCAACAATGTTTGTCGTTGATCTTTGAACCAAGAAGCTAACAACGTTTGATCGGTCTATTATCGAGGCTTTTTTTAGACAAACAAATTGCCTGCATAGACTTAGATCATAAAATAACTTAGATAAATTAGTAAGACACTTTGTTGAATTCCATTTATCTCTTTTTTTAATTATTATTAATCTTAAATTATCTCGAATCTTTTCCGTTGTCTACGCGATACAATTTGTTTATATTTATAATTGAGCAATTTTGCAATATTATCTAATCGATAAAAAAATTATATATTAATTATTATTTTCTCGCATGTATTTATATTTCAATTTTTTGCACTATATTATAGCTACAGTTATTTCATTTGTATGTATATATCACGTACAATTTAAGTATGATACAAAAATAGAATCATTTGTGTGTATGTGTGTATGTTTTTCAATACCGTGTTTACCATATAGACGATATATATCAATCATCTATAATAATCATAATGATTTTAGTTCAAATCGATGGTTTAATTCTTTGATGAAATAACAAGATCGTTCTATTTTAAAAATTAAAGTAGATAGATCAATACTCGGTCCATCCACATTCATACCGAAGTCCATTTAGATCTATTCACAGACTTCTTTTTCGATACAGAGTGAACGTGGTACAATGGAGCGAAGATTTATACGAGAAACAGCTGATCGAACGCACGATGGATGCTTGTCAAGGCCATGTGGACGTCGTAATCGATTTCGGCACAACATCACGCAGCCTTCACCGCAGTATGCAATGTTTGAGTAAAGGAGGCGTGGTATTCGTAATCAAGGAAGTGGCCGATCGACTTCTGCCTAAATTCAGCAGACGGGCCGAAGAATGGCAACAAAATATCAGACCTGTAGAACCCGGTACTCTGGAGCAACTTCGCCAATTGGTCGAATTGGTGGCTTCCGGTGAAATCGAACCGCCACCTCATACCGTATATCCGGCCGAGGAAGTACTCGACGTAGTCCGCAAGTTGTGTCATTCTGAGATTCAAGGACGCGCAATTTTACGCTTCTATCCAGCAGATTAAAAAATCTCTTGGGCAGAAATAATCACGTGCCGTGCGGATCGGCACGTAATGTGAATTTCAAGAGCGATTGAGATGATTGGAAGAACAAGATGGATCACCGATGGTTAATTAAATATTGCAGCCAATGGGGCTGAACGGATATTTGGAACTGACACTGATGTTTCACAGAATCATCGAGATCAAATGGATCATTTCATGAAGTTTTTTCTTTGTATAAGATACAAAGAGCTACAAGAAGAATATGGAAGTATAGCTCTTTTGAAGTATGGAAAATATTTGAAGTCGAACAATTAATATCAGAAACGATATGGTTAATCGTTAGAAAAAACGAAACGAGAGAAAGAGTTAGATATGCACTATATATTATTATATATTTATCAACGATGCATGTACGATAACGATTATCTTTGAATCACATAGATTGTTGCTCTGTACATTATCAGTAAAAGAGTACTTATTCTCATTTTTCGAGGGAATTTAATCATATGGAGAGTTTATTAATAAAACGAGCGGGTATACAAGCGATTTCGTAAAATCCTTTAGAATAGTAAATAGATATTCAAGAAACGATATAAATGTAGAATGTATTGCGGAGAAATTTAACACAGAATAGGATGTAGCGATAACATGAAATTTTTCATGTTCTTTCACTATTATTGCAATACTGTTTTCACTTAGAATTCACTAATATTTTCATGCGAAATATTATATTTTATATTAAGTATTAAAAAATGTTTATAATTCTTTATTTAGATGAAACACAAGTTAAACAATGAAAACAACGAAGGAAAAATACAAATATAATTTATAAATTATTAAAATAATAAAACTTCTACGTTCAAATTTCTTAATTACAAGAAACATGGTTACAATCATTTACAAGTATAATAAAACACAATCTGCAATCAAATTTCGTTTCTGAATATCTTGTCAATCATTGAATAAAATTATTTACATAATTGACTAATAAAGGAAGTTCGACAATTCGAAAAATTAGAAAAATTAAAGACTAAATCAAATATCATTCAATAATGCTAATAAAATTACTTTTTATTTTGAAGAAAAAAAAAATTTATAATTTTTTTTCATATGTTGTATAGTTTTTTAAATATTTACAACAATATGAAAGCTCATTTTAAAAATTGGTTTCATATTTATAAATCTTTTGTTCTTCGGCATAAAAAATAATTTAATTTGATCAAATTATTAAATTATAGTTAATCACTTGAACTATATTTCTATAAAGTTTCAAATTTTCCTGATTTTTCAAATTGTCAATCTTCCCTTGCAAGTTAAACCTCAGGTAGAATTTAATCTAGATAAGTTTGATGTATCAGAATATAGTACTGTTAATGGTACTGTTAAATATTTAATGTCAATTGAATTGTAATGATCGTTATGGTTTAAAGTTTTTAACATGAAATATATCTGGTCATCGGGAAATTCGAAAGACGAAATATTCGTATACGATTGTGATAAGTCGTCAAACATTGTCGTTTAAATGACGTGTATTTTGAACATATATTCGACACATAATTATCACGATTAAAAAAAAGGAAATATGCTTCTCTTTATTGATTTGATACAAATAACAAAAAATTATATCTATTCTAATTTCACAAATGAAATTATAATTGGGCAAAAAGAATTATTTTGCAATTGTTAATAATTAGATCCGGTGAATGTTAATTTCATGGTTTAGCATAACATTTGTAAAATACAATTGTCTCATAATGTAGACATGAGAATTACTTTCGTCAAGCATATTGTAATGTTTCGGGGCATTTTTGTGACTTACCTTTAGGTATCAGTATTCGTTTCTCACATAATTTAAAATAAATTAACATACATTAAAAATCGTTTTAATGTAATGTTGTAATTAATCGTATCTCAAATCATAGTTATTAAGTCACTGTATTTTGAAAGACTGTTTTCTTTATTTAAATGTAACTAACTCTTATTCTTTTTATTATATTTTATTTTTTAATTTTTCATTATAATTTAGGCGATAATTTAACGATGTGTATGTTCCACACGTTATTATATTGATTATTCATTGTGACAGTAATTGTATTATATTATAATGATAATATAATAAATTTATTAAAAATGTCTTTTGGTTTTTTTGTCCTTATATTTGAATATAATTCGATATATAATTCAATAAGATTCTTATATTTTTTTTATTCATATCAAATATATAATTCGTTGGAAATTAATCAAAATTATTGTTAAAAGTTAATCGATCAAGCGAATGTTTCAATTTATAATCAAGAAAAATATTCAAATCGTCAATAATTCCACTTTGATTTTTAAATTGTCATCCATTTTCTTCTGTAAGAAGAATGTTAACCCATTATCCTTGATTATGAAAATTATTATATGATATATCGTGTCATGATTAAATTTTTTTTTTTATTAAAATTACCTCTGATTTATATAGAACATTAACATGTTATATAAATTTTATACACGATAATCATATGTAAAAAAATAAAGAAAAATATATATCGTTTATTTTTATATATAATAGAATTTATATTCTGTTTCTTCTGATTCTTTTTATATCTTTAATTTATCGATAATTATTTATGAAACTATTCAATTTTATATTTTATTTCTGAATTCTTTGATTGTATAAAAATATTAAATAATTTTATAAGATTTAATATTGAATCAAATGCAATATATAAATTATAAAATATTCTAAATAAAATTAGAATATAAATTATAGTATTAATAATTAGTAATAATTTAAAATTAGTAATAATTTTATTTTTAGTTCTATATTTTTATAATTTGATTAACAATAGAACAATAAAAATAACATTATAATATTAGACATATAATAGTGTATCTTCTTTGACATAAAATGCAAAAATATCATTAATATATATTATAAATCATATTATATAGAAATTTTATAAAATCAATTAAAAAATGTGTATAATATATTTTTTTCAAACATATACAGTATACAAATATGTATACATGTTAATATATATAGATATGTATTTATATATTTAAATAATAAAAATTTTTAATTTTAAAAGTATTTAAAATGACATAGATAGTATCATAGAAGTAATATATCATTGTATAAATAAAATTATAATACACATCTTTTAATTATATTTCATATATGTATATATATATGTACAAATAAATACTGAAAAAGTACATTTAAGCGTAAAGCATGAAAGTATAAGTACTATAGATATACAATATTTTAATACTTTTTCATGATTTTTAAAGATATAGTTGAAACATATTTAACAAGTTAAAATAATACATTTTTTGAATAATTCTTATTTAATAAATTAATTAAAACTTTAACAATAAAAAGCTATGTGTATTTTAAAAATATTAATATTAACAATTTAATATATAATAT